TCAATGCATAAGCCAAATAAGCACAAGCCGGATACACAGCGATGGTGTGCACGCAGGATGTCAATATGTTAGGATAGATGAAAAAAGAGAATAACAGGAAGAAAGAGGAGGGAAAGGAGAAAAGACAGATGGAAACCAGGATATAGCTCCAAGGAGACTTAAGATATTTCAGTAATACTTTCTGATGTCCATAACTGAAATAAGACAATACTATCTCCAGTCTTTAATATAAGAATTCATTTGATTTTGATTTTAGTCTTAAATATAAGATCTCAATCCATTTTGTCTATCATATTTATCTATTTTTTTTAAGATAGTCATTATAATAATTATAGTTCTAACCAATATACTTGATTAGTAAGGTAATTTAAGAAAGACAATACCTAATTATTACAAATAACTAACTCAACAAGCTTCTTTAATTTACCTAAATTAGTCAACTAATTCTTATATTAAGAACTGAAGATAATACATTTAATAGCCTAATACATCAATTACTAGTAACTATTTTAGTCTAGAAACTGACATAAACTAACCTTATCCAAACATAGAAAACTGATGCAATAATAATAAAGCATAATTAAAGTAAAAGGCTATCAATTACTACGTCCCCTCCTAGAATAAATCAACAAGGGTCGTTTGCTCCTATCACAGTGGAAGGCAAAGCCTTATGGAGAAGCTTCCATTTAAAATAAAAAAAAAAGAAGCATACTTTAACAGGTAGAGATATAGACTACAAAACTTTCCAAAATGGATCATTAATTTTACATAAAGGTTGTCTTAGGCACAAAGAGAAACCGTCTTTGATAGAGTAATGGGAAAATTAATCTCTTCGTTCTTGATTTTTAATTTAGTTATAAATCAATTTCTTAATTATGAGTCCGTACAACTCAATCTCTCAATTTTCAACTCGTCTGTAATTCAATACTTTATCTTTTCATTTTTGAATGGTATTATCCTTCTCATCAGTAACTCATCCTGCATGGCAAAAATTTTCTTCCACCTTAGCTCCACGTGGCATGTAATCTTGGTTTCCCATCTCCTTCGCATGCTCTGTCCTGACTCCGCTTTTCAATCCAGTGAAGAAACAGAGTAGGAGGAATTACAAGAGGCAGGAGCAGTGGAAGATGCAGTGATCAACATTATAGGTTGGCCTATGCGCGCGAAGGAAACTAGAGGAACAGCCGAGTTCAAATTAAGGGGGTGTTTGAATAGAAACTAAACTATGGTTTCAAAAGTGCTTTTACGGATTACGAAGTAAATATGTGGAGGAGGTTACCTCGTTTTGCGAAAAAGTGATTCTGAAACCGTGGTTTTGGTTTTGCCAAACACCCCCTAAAGCAGCTTGTTGTCAATTCTGGGCTTGACGCGAGGCAAGCTTCAGTGCAAGCTTCGGCGAATCAACCAATGGAGGTGGCTGACCCTAATATTCATGAAATAATAGGAAATTAAAAAAAATCCGTTTAGTATGAGAAAAATAAAAAGAAGGAAAGGGGAGGAAAATTTTTAATAAGTTTAAATTAAAATATTTAAAAGAAATGGAGTTAAAAACTTTAAATTAATTTTTTATTATTCTTTTTTGTCACTTGTTCTTTTTATTAAAATGTTAAAACCACAGTAATTTAATTTTTTAAATAAAGCTTCTTAAGATTTTACTTCACTTATCTAAAATATCTCATCTTTACTAGAAGATATCACAACCTTTTGGAATCACAGTCGCCATTGTTATTCTCTTCTTACTCTCAACCTTCTACACCACCATCCGAGCCACTTGCAAAAATGGTTCTTTACTTGCATAGACAAGATTGCCTTCGGTTAAAGCCTTTTTTTTTAATTTTTTTTTTAATTTTAGTCAGAATCTAGTTGGTTTATGTACGGGCACACTGATTTCATGGCATTGAGTAGGAAGCCGATTCATTTGGGCATTGCTTACAATTTTGGTTCTCCGGTTTTTCTTGGATCTGGCAATGGGCATCGGTTCATTCTGGGAAAATTATTACGGAACAGGCTAAGGAACGTGAGGAACCAAGATTACATGCCACGTGGAGCTGAGTTGGAGGAAAATGTTCGACGTGTAGAATGAGTTATTGATGAGAAAGATAATAATAATTTTAAAAAAAATGAAAAGATTAAAAGACTAAGTTATAAAGGAGGCAAATATTAACGGACTGAATCACACCGAAGCATAGTTACAATACCAAGTTATATAACCAATGAGGATTGAGTCTAGCGAAAGGGGTTAGTCTCTCACAAAGTGATGAACCAAGGTTCGAATCTCTGTTGGGAGAGGTGCCTACGTTTAGTGTTCGACAGTGCCTTGAATAGGATATCACCTCCAATAGGAGGATACCTATGTTTTAGTTAAAAAAAAAAAAACACCGAGTTACAAGTGAGTTAATTTTTCTTAGAGTATTTATCATATTTATTACTAGCTTAGATCATTCGATTAAAATTACATTAGGGGAAAAAAGTGGGGGACTTAAAATTACATTTACAACATTAGATGGATACATAGAGTGTACAGGTTGACAAGTCCATTTGATAGGATCCCAGCTATACATGTTATACATTAAAAGATTAACAAATTCATAAGGAGATTCCCCCGGGGGGGGGGGGAACTAATCCAGATTGTATGCTACCGTAAATGGTGGTTGAGAGGTATATTTCCACTTTCCATTTAAGATGATTAAGAATAATTATCCACATGCTTGGCTCTTCCTGGCTATATCCAAAAAGCATTGTGTTGTATGGTTACCTGTGGTTTTGCCTTTTCCTTCAGCAGAAGAGTCAGTTGGGAAAAATAGGGGTGCTGGTGTTAGTTTGGTTTTTTTTTTTTTTTCCTTTTGGGCCAAATTTTTGTTTCTCTGCCTTGTCTTAAGCAGCATGTTTTGGGCTAGTTGAATTCACATGTTTCTTTTAAAATCTACCAACAAATGCTGGCGGTGTTTTTCTTAAATTTTTTTTAAGAATTTTATATTTTATTTCTTATACATATATTACCATATAGGTATATAATATTATCATTTAAATTTAATTATTATGTTGCTGGTTCAATCAAATGATTCAACCGATCTGAGAGGTTGAATCATAACTCATTGTCCTATTCCATTCAATGTTCGGTCTGGCTTTCAAAACATTGGTTTTAAGTACCAATATTTTGTTTGAGTTCAGTTTATTTTTTTCCTTAAAGTTATCTATAAAAACTGGTTTGAAGAATTAATTACGCATGTTTCTGAATTCAACCATATGTTTTCATACATAGAAATTACCTTTTCTAGATTTTAGGGACAATGGGCAATTAATTTTCCATATATGTATTTATGGAAAATTTTTCTTTTTTTTTTCTATAGGATAATTGTATGGAAAAAAATAGTACTGCCAATTAATCAAAATTGTGGGAAAACACTTGGCAAAATTTTTTTGGAAAACATAATTTACGGTACGTATGTGGAAAATGAGCTGATATAAACGGAAAAAAAAAGATGTACAAAAAATAAACTACCACGATTAAAAGACCATTTTGGGGCAAAAGGACGAAACCAAAAAACAAAAGAAGAAGCCTGATACTAGCATACAGCGGATGCGCGGACGCGCAAAATATCAGGAGCAGGGAGAGGCGATATCAGCCCACAAATATCTGGAAAAAATCATAACGTATTATTATTATTTGAACAAAATTCTGATTAAGGAATATAAGTTATTACTCGTCTTATCCTAAATATAACATCCTTATACTAGTGTATATAAAAATCTTATATTTAAGACCAGAAGAGTAGATTTTATGACGAATATATAAAAATAAAATCCAAATTTTATATAATGAATCCAAATTTTTATATGAATGAATGAAAACCCAAACTTCTTTAAATCATCGCGGGTCACTGGGCAAAGATTATAACTCAAACTTGTTAAAGCTTCTCACTGTCATGTCATCACAAACACCTCCCCATGTATTACGGTATGCTACCTTAGTATAATAGCCCATCTAATTTTTATTTTAATCATAAATATAAAATTTCAGTCTATTTTGTCTCTCATATTTAGCTTTTTTTAAGTTAGTTTTTGTAATAATAATGATTCTAACTAATACACTTGATTAAATAGGATATTTTAGGAAAGATAACACATATTTATTACAAATAATTAACGTAATTAATTTTTTTAATTTATTCAAATTAATTAACTAGTTCTTATATTAATGACTGAAAGTAGTAATATATTTTGTTTAAAGTATTTAATTTTTTCACTCAATGTTCCTAACTAAATACATACTTTTTAACTACTTAATCAAACTCTTCTAACTAATTATTTTTAAGGAAGGAAATTTTGATATTTTATAAAAAATAATTAATTTTATTAATTTATGAAAAGTTGTTAATTGTTGTTATCATGCGTTTATAACAAGAATAAGGTAAAAATATACTTTTATTTCTTAAAATTTATAAAAGATTTTAGTTTGATCTTTTAATTTTAAAAAATATATTCTTAGTCTTTCAATACGAAAATTATTAAAAAAAATGATGTTGAGATTTTAAATATTAATAAAACATGATCAACTATCAACATATTAAGTTTAATTTTAAGAACAATCATGATTATTGTAAAAATTGTTATTAAGACTAATAATTTTAAAATTAAAAAATTAAAAAAATATTTTTTAAATGTAAGAGGCTAAACTGAATTATTGTATAATGTTAAAATATACTAAATGTATGCTTTATTCAAAGAGCATGATAATACTCTTAATATTAGTTTGGAATGATTTATAAACAGTATTGTTTCACATTCTATTCACAAATTTACAACAGTGTTTTGTTATTATTATTGCTACTACTTCTGTTATCATTGATTTACTATTTAATTAATGGCTCTGGTAATAACATCTCTATTCACTCTTAATAAAATTAAGCCATTTTCATCCCTTCAACCGATTTGAATTTTTAAGTTTCAGTTCATTCTACATTTTGCAATGTTTTTTCATTGGTAAAAATAAGGAAAGAAAAGCAATTTTCCGCTCAATTTGCTGGCAGCAGAGGGAATTTCCATTGCCATTGGCAGTCAGCAGCAGAAGCAGCAGCATCGGAGAGTGAACCAGCTGCGCCTTGCTCTTCCACTGCCCCCTCAGGTGTCGTAAAACCCTAATTTGTTACTTCTTTCCCTTCTTCTTTTGTTTAATTTTTATCTTTCTTCATCTTGCGATTTTCCATCTCGGGGTTCAATTTCTATTGGTAAGCTATCTCCGTACTAGCCTATGGAATTTTCTTCTGCTTTCAGTATTCGACGCCCACTTTTCCTCCCGACTGTGTGTTACTCGTTCTCATTTGGTATTTACTCTTGTATGAATCTTTTCAGCTATACTGAGGCTGCTTTTGGACTCTGTTAAGTGAACGAGGTGATGAATCCCTCGCTTTTGGTTTATCTTACGCTCGCGGAGAAATAATGGTCTCTACGTCTATGAAAATAAATAAATAAGCCAGTGACAGTGTATGTTGTTCCCGAGGTAATGGCGGTAGATTCTAATTGTTTTCTGGAGTATATTTCATCAGCTGTTATGGTATATTCGAGCTTCCTGCTTCGTCTGTTATATGTACCTCAGGTTTTTTGGTAAACAAAATTAATGAAAGAAATTTGCTTGCAAGGGATGATGGATTTTATCTTGGATTTTTTTTGGGTAATTTTCCCTAATCTTATGGCTGGAATGTGTTTAAATTTAGTTGTTTCTCTTCTGTAGCTGCCGATCCAATCAGACACCCCAGGAAAATATAGCTGTAGTAGGAGCCTGAGGAGCTTTTCCTGGAGAACGAGTGCATTGAAATTGTGTCTCATGTGGGTGCTTCAAAGTCCATACAGTGTTAGGCAAGTTCACTTTAGCAATCATCTTCACTATAGCCCTTATAGGCGTTGCTATTCAAGTCCACCTGTCTGCTTTATCTCCCCTTCAAATCCAATTACAAAAGGCGGCAAAAGCAATGACCAATTGATTCAATCATTATGTAAACAAGGAAGCCTCAAGCAAGCCCTCCAGGTCCTTTTTAAGGAGCCCAATCCATCTCAGCATACATATGAACTTTTGATCTACTCTTGTGCCCACCAGAACTCGCTTTCTGATGGCCTTGATGTTCATCGCCACCTCATTGGCAGTGGCTTTGACCAAGACCCATTTTTAGCCACTAAACTCATCAATATGTATGCTGAATTAGGGTCTATTGACCATGCACGCTGGGTATTTGATAAAACTCAGGAAAGAACCATATATGTCTGGAATGCACTCATCCGTGCACTAGCTATGGCAGGTCATGGTGAGGAGGTGCTGTATTGGTATAGTCAGATGAATTGGGGTGGGATCCCGTCAGATAGGTACACATATACTTACGTGCTCAAAGCTTGTGTTAATTCAGAGTCAACAATCTTTCCTCTCCAGAAGGGGAAGGAGATTCATGCCCATATTCTGCGACATGGCCATGAAGCTCGTGTTCATGTTATGACAACTCTGCTGGATATGTATGCTAGGTTTGGTTGTGTATCAAATGCAAATTCTGTGTTTAATGCCATGCCTGTCAAGAACTCAGTCTCATGGAGTGCTATGATTGCATGTTATGCAAAAAATGGTGTGCCCATGAAGGCTTTGGAGCTTTTTCAAGAAATGGTTCGTGAGGAACGTGAGTCAGTTCCAAACTCTGTGACAATGGTAAGTGTGCTTCAAGCTTGTGCAGCTCTTGCTGCTTTGGAGCTAGGAAAACTGATTCATGGGTATATTCTTAGAAGGGGTCTTGATTCAATCCTGCCTGTTCTTAGCGCCCTTATAACAATGTATGGAAGATGTGGTAAGCTTGAATTGGGGCAACATGTGTTTGATCAGATGAGAAAGCGAGATGTTGTTTCATGGAATTCTTTGATATCAAATTATGGGATGCATGGTTTTGGAAGAAGGGCTATCAAGATTTTTGAAAAAATGACCAGCCAAGGAATTTCACCGAGTCCCATATCATTTATAAGTGTTTTGGGAGCTTGCAGCCATGCAGGCCTTGTCGAGGAGGGGAAGATTTTATACGAGTCTATGGTAAGTAAGTATGGGATTCATCCAAGTATGGAGCATTATGCTTGTATGGTGGATCTTCTTGGCAGAGCAAACCGGTTGGATGAAGCAATCAGAATTATAGAAGATTTACGCATTGAACCAGGACCCAAGGTCTGGGGCTCCCTGCTTGGATCTTGTAGGATTCACTGTAATGTCAAATTTGCAGAGCGAGCCAGCAAAGCGCTTTTTGAGTTGGAGCCTTGGAATGCTGGCAACTACGTTCTTTTAGCTGACATATATGCTGAAGCTAAGATGTGGAATGAAGTAAAGAGAGTAAAAAAGCTTTTGGAAGCTCGTGGGCTGCAAAAGATTCCAGGCTGCAGTTGGATTGAAGTTAAAAGGACGATATATTCATTTGTCTCTGTTGATGGGACAAACCCGCAAAATGAACAACTCCATGCTTTCCTACAGAAATTGTCGAGTGAGATGAAGGAGCAGGGTTATGTTCCGCAGACAAAAGTTGTTCTTTATGATCTTGATGAAGAAGAGAAGGAGAAAATCATATTGGGACATAGCGAAAAGCTTGCTGTTGCTTTTGGACTCATCAATACTGCTAAGGGTGAAACTATTAGGATCACTAAGAATTTGAGATTATGTGAAGACTGTCATTCTGTTACAAAATTCATTTCAAAGTTCGCTGATAGGGAGATTCTTGTTAGGGATGTCAATCGTTTCCACCACTTCAAAGATGGGGTATGCTCTTGCGGCGACTACTGGTAGTTCTCTGTAGAATTTTATGCAGTAGAAACGCCCAATAAATTAGTTCCCATATTGTCAGAGAAATTTTATGAAGGTATAATTTAATATACAGCGAGAGCTCCGTTTGTTGCTGATTATTTTTTTTTTAAAAACAAAAAATTAGCCGTAGTCTGATGCTGATTCAGTGCATTTATATAATTTTACTCTTTTTTTTTTTGGGAAAGCAGAAAGCAGTTCAGTTATACAAAGTGTAATATAACTATCGAGTTTAGGCCTCTGCGTTATTCCGCATTAGGTTTAAAGCGTTGCATTCAATAATGGAGTACAAAATACTGGAGGCATGATTTTGTTTCAAACTATATGGCGAGCCCCATTGTTTGAGGGTGTAGCTGATTATTTTTTTCTTCTATTTGTTGGTAAAAATTGCATATGATCCTTAAAAAGAATTAAAAAAAAATACTAATGGCTAAAACATTTTTCTATTAAAACTCGAAATAAAAAACGTCTATGTATTGCGTCATGAGGGGCGAGAGACCCAGATGATCTTATACCATACCATGAAAATACTGTAATTTGCACGGTAAATGTGCGTAAGTTGTGATTCTTGTAAAAACGAGTTCCCTTAAAAATGTATTGGGGAATGTTCGTTTTCATGGTTCTACCGTAAAAACATGGTTTTGTGGCTTTTAATTTTGAATTAGCTTTTTAGTAGTGATTTTATAATCGTATGTGTTTTATGGGAAAGTGCTTCTCAGGATAAGCCTGCAGCAACTATAGTTTAGGCCAAAATCATAGTTTTGGACTCAAAATCATGATTTTAGAAGAAGTGAATCCATTTTACTTCTAACTTAAATTGAAGAGTGTCAGAGTGCTTGGGAGAGTAGATCTCAACGATAACATAACTTTAACACCCATCAATTATTTTTTTATAAACATATTTAATCTTTTATTTTATAAATATATATATACACATATTAATTATTAATTAATTATATTATCTTATATATTATTAATTATGTTGGTAAAAAATATATTATCAACAATTTTATTCCTTCAAATTAAAATATATTATAAAATCTATCTTTTATGTAATTATCATATTAACTTATGTCTTTTTTAGTAATTTGCACATATAAAAAGTACTTCTGATAACAACTATCCAAATACTCTCACTTTATCAAAATCACTTTTTTACAAAATATGTTCTCTCAAGAATTTATTTTCCAGAAACTATTCTCCAAACCATGATTTGATTTCATGCAAACACATCCTAAAAATACAACTCTTTTTAGGAAAAAAAAAACACACACACACACAGGTCTTTTTTCTACCAACAACAAGTAGGAGTATTCAATTTGTCCCGTCCCAGTCCTTATGAGTTCACGACGGGACGGGATGAGGTAACAAAATTTTGAGATAGGACAAAAACGGGACGAGACGTAGGATGGGGTCGTCCCATCCTATCCTTTTTTTAAAAAAAATTATTTATTAATAATTATTATTAGATTATTCAATTTACTTATTAGTAATAACTCTTACTTTTATGGTATTTTTAGCTCTTAAGTTATAGTATTATCTCGACAAAATCTCCTTTCTCAATAGAATAATTCATAAAGTCATTATATAGTGTTTCTTTTATGGTATTTTTTTTACAGTATTGTTTTTACACCTTTTTGATACTGTATAATTGAGCTTTCTACATAATATTTTTTTACAATATTTTTATTTTTAGAAGCCCAATAAAAAATAAGTATTGTAACATACAAAATTCATATAAAAATTATAGTTTTTTTTTTAAAAAAAGGGAAGCGGGACGTCCCGGTCTCGTTCAGGGGACAAAATCCTTGTCCTATCCTTGTTCACTAGGACAGGCCTGTCCTGGTCTTGTCTAGTCCCGTGAACACCCTTAACAATTGACTGTAATAAAACTAGTTTTATATTCAGTTGGTGCAGTGTTTGGGAGGGGGAGAAGTAGTCTATGAGTATGATAAGTTAGTTTGTAAATTTGGGAACTGTTTGTCATAGCTTTTGACCAATTTGACTTATAAGTCAAATTGGTTTTTTAAACACAATTGCAAAAGCACCTAAAGCTTACTTATAACTTATGCAAAAGTAACTTTTTAGAATTAAAAGACATTTTTGCCCTTATATCTATGTTGTTCTTATGTTTTTCTCTATATATTCCTTATAATTTCCAATCAGTTTTTACTTGTTTATTTTTAATATTTTAAAATAATTTTTAACCATTGTTATAATATTTTTAATTTTTAATATTATTTTTTTATATTTACATAAATTATACAGAGTATATCATCTAATTAATTATGTAAAATTATTTGGTTCAAAAATTTTCATTTCTAATTTAAATATATTTTATTAATTAAATACAACTTTTTCATATTATAATAATTTAAAATTATTATATTTTGTAAATTCATATTTTTAATCATTTTTATTATTTAATAGAAGTTATATCCATTTTAGTCATTCTATAGACTAACCTTACTCATTCAATCATAATCAAAACAACTTTTTCACTTTACAAACTAACTCTTATAAAAGTCAATCTAAATACAAATTACACTATCCAATTTAACTTTTACTCAATCTTATATTTTTTAAAAAGTTAAATTGAAAATATGTTACTTTTTCTATCACTAATCCAAACAGACCTATTGTTACTTGTAAAGCATAAAGATTAAGAATTTTGAAAGCTCGTACGATTGCCAATTTGTCATAAAGCATTTTAATCAATTGCAAAAGTTAAGTCCTAGTTTAATTAGCACTTCAATCTTCTCTGTCTTACCCAAGTTTTGGATGCGTAAAACACGAACATCTTATTTGGTATGAAACATTTAAAAAAAAAAAGTAAGAATTGAAATTGAAATTTAGAAAATTTATTAAAAGAATGTTTAGTGTGAAAAATTGCTTATTATCTGGGATTGGGTAAACTGATGAAACTAAGATGAGGAAATACCACAATTTCTCAATTCCACCTTTATTGTTTGCCCAATTTCAAACAACATTTAATCCTTCATACTAAATACTGTTTTAATAATTTTTTAAATTTCAAACATAGTCCTTAATTCTCACTTTCAATATTTCATCAGAATCAGAGTATTTGATTCAACAAATGATCCAATCTTGAAACCATTTAGCTGCAGCTTCTACCGAAGATAAGCAATCAGATTGCACCAAAACATAACGAAGATCAATGGTTCTAGACATTAACAAAACGATTCTGAGCCTTACTCCTTTAGGCTTCATTTGGTTCAATGGAGGGGAGGGGAAAGGAAGTCATGGTTTTGTTTGGTTAGAGGAGAGGAGAAGGGAGGGGAGATTTCTTGTTTGGTTCATAAGGGGAGGGGAGGAGAGGTAATTATAAATTGACAAATATGCCATTTTCTCTATATTTAAACTGATTTATTTTTTATTACAATATTTATATCAAAATTATTATTTCTTAATTTATCAATTTCAAAAAAAACCAATTATCTCACTTACATGTGATAAAAAATGATAAAACTAACAAATTATAACACGCATGTTATGATATGTACATATTAATATATGTGCATGTATCTGATATTATAATACAGACATGCTATGATATATAATTAAATATGTTACGATATGCATATATTAATATATATGATTATATTATAATTATAATTTTATTATTATCATTATCAAATATTATTAGTGGCTAAAAAGAAAAGAAGTGAAAAAAAGATTCTTAATAAGATGAACAAACTTGGAATATTGAAAGTTAATATGGGTAGTTTGGTAAACATTAGATATAATATTTCTCTCATCTCCAAAAAAACCCTATTTGAGGGAGTATGAGGAAAGGGGACCAAGAAAATTTCTCCCTTCTACCTCTATTCCCAACGAAACACACTTATCTCCTCCTTCCCTCCCCTAACAACTTTCCAACCAAACAAAGCCTTTAGGTGCTCTATGCCCAACTGCTTTAAATGTGACTCTCTTGCAATTATTCAAGGAGTGTTTCATCTTCTCTCTTTCGCAACATTAGCTTTTGAGATCTCTAGTGACAGAGCAAACAGCATCATTATTCATGCTTCAGAATCTAAGTTTTTCAGCTTTGTAAAGAGGTGGGATAATCTTCCACACAAGTATAAAAGACAGGGGCCTTGTTATTGTTATGGTACAAGTAATCATGGTTTGTTACTGAAAGAATTTCTATGGAAGAGTCACATTTGCAGCTGAGCTTCCCTTGCTCGTTATGTGCTTCCATGCTTTGCTTTTCTGGCCTTTTCTAGCTATTTTCTTGAAAGTTATATCATTCCCCCCCCGGAAGTACTTTACGTTGCTCTATTTGTGTATTATCTTACTGTAAGCAAGAGAACTCTTACAACTTTTAATATGCTCTTCCGGTCCTTAATAGAAGACCTATTTAACTAATTTTATTAAATTAAAGAAGTTAGGTAAGTTAGTTAATTATAAGAAATATGATATGTTTTTTCCAAAATAGTACAATCATCTTTCTTAATGTCCTCCCTCTCTTTCCTACTTGATTGTGATTGAGGGATTATCCATAAGAGTAATTTAGAAAAAATTAATAAATATGAGAAATAAGTCTTATATTTAGGATCAAAATCAATTCAGCAATTAGGTACTGTATTAAGGACAGGAGGAGTATCATTTGTTTTGTTTTGTTTTTTAAAGAATGGGCTAACTTGTAAACCCGTTTTAATTTTTTTTTTACTTTTAAGTTTAATTGTGAATGAAGATGTGAGGAAATGTTGATGAATTAATAACTTTAATAGTTGATATTTAATCAAATAAAAAATTTAAATATTGACATTAAATAAGATTCTTATATGGTTTTTAATAATGTGCAAATATTAACTTTGAATTATGAATTTTATGAATTATTATATGGTTTTTCCCTTCTATGATATGTGTTATTTATCATTTAGTATCCATATGTTTGTTTGTATGTCATCGTGACGCCTTACTTTATATGTTATATTGTAATTTCATATTTTAAAAATAAACAAATTAACAAATTTATAACCTATAAAGAATGGACTTCTTAAATTGAATTTCCCACACACACACACACAAAGCTGAGTTACTTGACTCAAACTTTTTCTAATCCAAACTCATAGATAA